TATATATATATATATATATATATATATATATATATATATATATATATTTTTCTGATTCTCTTTGGAAATATAATATATATAATTTTTTAAACATTTCTCTCCAAGTATTACATTCTTCTGTATTACATTTCTGAAGAGGATCAGAATAAAATGATTGAAACACTAAAACTGCTAAATACGTACGTCGATTGAAACGGTTTCTGAAGGCCTGTCCGTAGGAAGGAGAAATTATTCGCTCGACTGCTGTAAGCGTCATCCGAATGACTGCTGCGATTGCATGCTTTATCAACTCTACGGTTCTTCGTGATCACCGCGTAAGCGTATTTTCTGAAACAGTCGATTGATTTTGCTTGTGTACACAAACGTGATATCGCCGCGTCGTTAAAAGAAATACCTGTAGATCAGCATGGACAACAATACTACGGAAGCTAGAAGCACCACGAGGACTGCCACCGCTGTCACGAGTCCGTAATACTCGTTGGGTGTTATGCAAACGTTCTCCATAATGGTGGTCTGTCTCTCCATCATCGTTTCTTCGTCGATCTCCATTCTTGAATCTAGCACCTGCGAGTTAACAATTCAAGTTAAATTAAAAGAAGATTGTTGTATATTCTTGCTGCCAAAAAAGTTACTTTGTTCGTATCGCTCTTCAAATAACTAATATACATCAAGAAATAATAACTTCTATTTATTATTAAATATTTAGTTATTTAAATTAAAAGAAGATTGGTGTATATTCTTGCTGCTAAAAAAGTTACTTTGTACGTAGCACTCTTAGAATAACTAATATACATAAAGCAATAATAACTTCTTATTGGTAGTGGAAGGGAACGTTCTTGCTCTCATATCGACAAAAAGCACACGTTACTGAATTCTAATCTCAGAACTGTTTACATACTTTATTTAATATCAATTTGATTCAGAAGCCCACCTCAATCATTTCTCTGACGTGTTCCTCCTCCTCCTCCTCCTCTTCTTCAGTGTGAATGTCATCGACGTTCGTGGAATTGGTTGCTGAGGACGTGTCGTTTGCATTATTCTCGATTATCGTGGTCATTTCATTTTCTTCATTGACCGTATCATTGGTCGAGATGTCTCTTCGCCTCCTTCCAAAAGACGGCTCGCTTCTTCCGGTGCCACCAGAACAGTAAGCAGGCTGACAACCGTCCCTGCACGTCCTCACAGTCGCCTCGAACACTAAGAAATTGGATTCCGGGATTTTGAAGGCGTTGAAACGCGCCTCGAGGCTGTCTCCTTCTCGCAAACGATCTAATCCTGGGAACACGTAGTTGTCCACTGGACAGCTGCACGGAAAAAGCCCCATCGGGTTTATAAATATTGTTTTCTTTGTCTCAGTGTGCAAGGTGAGGTGTTAGGAATGTTTAGAAGGAGGATGCAAACGTTTTTGGTATGGCGAATTTAATTATTTTGGAATTAAGTTTTAGTTTGGGATAAGGAGACCTGTGCATTAGCGTTAACTAGAAAATTATGTTTGTCGTGAGTTCACTATTCCTCCCTTTTTTTTTTCTATAATCTCAAGTGTGGACGTTAGGGGTGGATGCACCCCGTAGGGTGAATCACAAAACTCCATTACCTTTTCTTACTTCTTCTAGACCAATCTAAATTGTTCTCTCTAGAAGTCTCTAGAAGTTAACCAGTAAATACTATTATAGCATCTTAACAATTGCAGTTGTATCAGTTTTTTTTTTAAATCTTCCTAGAGATATTAGATTTATGTGATTCCCTTCATGAATTATTTTGAGTACGAAAAGAGGAATAGAATACTTTGTGTAATATTTACCCGTATCTGTCTATTAGTTGAACGCTCCTTCCAGAATAAGGATCTCTCGCTATGACGTTGGTGGCGAAGATGTCAGTCACATAATTGTACCTGTTGAAAGTATTATTGAAACGTCATGGTATACGTTCTTCTTTGAGTGTAGTCGTGTAAAACGTTAGAAACACACCGTGTGATTTAGTGTTACTTATTTTTTAATCTTTCTGTATATTTAACTAAAAAGAATAGTTGCAGATAACTTGGAGGAAAATACGAACCCATCCTGGGCTTCTAGCCTGAAGGTGAGTGGGTCACCGACAGCGATGGTGGTTGTGGGCCTGCCTTGATAGAGAATAAGCAGACGCACTCGAGAACTCAAGGTATTTTCTGCTGGAAGATATTCGATAGGGATCGGAGACCCTGACCTACACAATAGAATGGATTTTATTAACGAAATTGAAAATTAATATTCAACCCTCTCTCATCCATCTTCATTTTCATTCAACTCTCAAAAATTTACCAAATTTGAGACATTAATACACACAAGATGATTCAACAACAACGTCCAAAAATGCACAAGAATATTCTAAATGAATTAGTTCCGAAGATGAGAAGTTAAAGAAACTGGATCTGCATAGAATTCGTGGATTTGGTAAAGTCGCAAAAATAAGTTAAAATTTAAATTCAATAAAAATAAGTTTGAATTGTATAGAAAGGAAGTGCTAGCCTCATATCGTTCACAAGTATCAATTTGACAGCCAACGTGTTAATCCATGTTATGTTTAAATTCGTAATGGTCGAGGCAGCTTTACTCGAATTTGTTTATACAGTATTGAAGTAAATCGAGTGTGCTTGCACCCGGGATTCCATGCAAAGTAACGCAAGCGAAGCATTCCATATTTAATTGTAAACACGGCGAGTGCACCAGGTGCAAGGCACGGTTTTCTCAATCGATATGACCTGGCATACCCGGCACCGATGTAGCCGGACGTGACGACAGCTTCGCCAGGGCCTCGAAACAGGCAGGTGAGATTGAAACGTTTGTCCCTTCCGGTTTGCACGTAGTCGGAGAACTGCACCACAACGATGTTCGTCATTGTGTCGCCGTACTGGAATCGTTCGCCAAATGTAACCTCGATTCGCAGCGATTCAAGGGAAACTTCGCGAAGGAGACACGGGTGTGCATCATTAAACGTAAAAATTAAATTTTCAAGAAAACTGGAGGATCGTTCCCTTCTGGCAATCGTCCAGGTTTCACATAGAAACGAATTGGTAATGTAGTTTAAGAACGAGATAACGGGGCGGTTGATGGTTTAGATAGCTCAGACAGGGGTTGAGAAGTGTTCTTACTCTTTGAGTTCCGCATTCGGGGTAACCCTGAGGACCGCTGATTCTCAGCACGTTTACGGTTCCGCCATTCCCACGGAAGAAGCAGCGATCGTAATAGCCGTACGTGTATATCCGGCCGATGAATCCTTCCGGTGTCCTTAACGTAAACTCCATTCCATCTTCGCTACAGACTTGACTCACTAGAATGACCATACACACAGTTTACTAACGCACGAAGTTCCAAGCTGGAGTATAATGTAGTCCCACGCAAGCATAAGTAATTAAAGCATTCAGCAATTAACAATGAACGTCAAAACTGTATTCTAAGATGAAGAGAGAGATGAAATCGTCTGTGCGCAACAAGAAACATAAGAGAGAAGTTTAAGAAAGAAGGAGAACGTGGAATTGTATATTAAACAGTTAATTAAAAATAAAAACTACTCGCTATGTCCAAAATATTTTATTAACACGTTTAAAGCTATGCTTGAGTCGGACTACATTATTTTCTGATTTGGATTTCTATTTTATGTAAGTTATTAATGAATTCTTCAAACGGTAATTGGCAATGAAATTATCCACGAATACAAGGATGATTCTCTACACGCACGTCATTTGGTTGCAGACAAAGAACCCTGCGACGTACAATGAAAAAATTAAAAAGAAAAATGTATATGTCGTGGCAAGAGTAGTCTGTTTATTTCTCCAAGCTGAATCCAAGTGACAGTGTTCGACGATATCTGTACAATGCTCCGAAACTTGTCAACGCATAGTGTCCACATGAACACATCGCAAGAGTTCCTCATCATCAAAAATATCTCCATGAAGTCCGTGGAGTTGGCATCCAAGGTCGATTACGACGCTTACCGTCGAGACATTCAGCGTCCACGCCCTGTCTACCGTTGTTCCTCTCGTAGAAATCGTAATCGGAGCCTGTGTCATAGTAGACAGGGTTCCCCATGTCCATGTCCCTGGAGTCCCTGTCGCTGAGCTCGCAGTTGTCCCTTTCAGCGCCAAATGGGGCTGCGTAGGGCCGATAGTTGAAAGACCTGCAGACGAAGTCCCTGGCGTCGGCGCATTCCCTTTCACACTGAGCAAGGGAGGAGGCGGTTGTGTACCGTCTGACGAACGGTTTTCGGACCCTGGTGTGGGGGCCCACTTGACGGAAATTGTCCTGTTCGTCGCATCTCGAGACCAGAGGGGGACGACCAATGATGGGACCACCGCTCGTCCCGAAGGGTCTGGTGTTGTAGACTCCACCCTCACCCACGTAGCCTCCGCCAATTATACTACCACCGTCGTTGTTGTATCCTCCGAAGCCTAAAGGACGCGTGGGCCCAGCTGCGCCGAAGGGGGGGCGTTCTGGGTGCGATTGGGGTCCATAGCCGTCGTCGATTGGGTAGCCACTTCCGTGAGCTGGGGGTGGAGGGTACCTGAGGGCAGAAGAGTAGTGGATTAGGGTTAAGGTAGGCTTTGAAACGTTAGCTACATCATCAATCAAGTGATTATAGTCGCTGGAAGGGATCTTGTGAGGTTGTAAAGTCGGTCGGACATCGATCTTTACAACTTAAATCGACCGCAATTAGTAATCTGACACCTTTTTAGACAAAGACAGAGCTAGATTTTTCGTTCAGGGTCGTATGGTATCAGAATTAGGATGTTCATATTTCAATAACTTTTTTCTTTTTATGTATGTTCACACATAATTCTGTTGGCCGACTTATTGAAAATACTGTGGTAGGTAGGAACTTAGTTAACCAATCATCGTCAAGAGTTTTCGGTGTTTCCAATTTGGAAAAACCCGCGTAGCAAACATCAAGTCTTGGGGCCCCGGTGTGTAACGTGGGCATGTATACTTTAGAGCCGCAACACCCCTGTCGTCCTACGGATCAGTTACCTGGCCCAATAAAGCAATAACTACTGTTTCGGTTTACAATCTCACAAGATCCCTTCCAGCGACTATACTTATTGAGACTTGGTTTACGGAGATTTCTTACGAGATTTCTTATCAGATTTCTATTCAAGATGCTTCTTTAAGTAAAGACTTTGAAACATCGGCGACATTATCGGTTACGTAATTTATTATTATACTGCGGATCTTTATGCATTTATAGGAAATTTGAATGTGCAAGAACCTACAAAATGCAAACAATATTCAAGAATATAAAAAAGATTGAAAGTGAAGTTCATGTTATAATATTTGCAGAATAAAATAAATTCCTCTATAGGTTTAATTTTTGTAGGCACGTTTGCGAAGATTTTATTTTGCATAAAGATCCGTAGTCTATTTATTATTAACAATTAGGTTTACGGAGATTTCTTATCAGATTCCTATTACAGAAGTAATGCTTTAATGAAGTCGATTTATTGAAATTAATTAGGAGGCTTGACCAAAAATAAATTTGAATATATGCTTGTCTTTTTACGTGGATAAAAGTCAGCATAAACAGTTGACGAGAAATATAAATGTTTTCTCTAAAACTTCGTGAAATTTGGAATGCCTAAAATTGGGAGTTTGGTAAACCTAGTGTTAATCTCCTGTTTCTTCTGTATGTCTGCAGGTCCTCTTCAATACAATTATCCTAGGTACTGCTACAATTAATTAATAAAGACATAATAGACCTAGCTAGGTAATTCTCAAATACCTAACTTTTTCAGTCCTTTCAAAAGTCGCCTAAAAACAACATAAGAAAATTGTAAGAACCTCCTGTTGTCTCCACTGTCCCATTTAATTCCTTTCAGAATGTACTGGACGTAATCTGTCCAGAAAAAAGGAACAATGACTCCTCGATTAACATAGCTTACCGGTTGGGATAAAGGTCCTTGTCCGGGTATCTTTCACTGATGGGATATCGATCAGCGTGAGGCCTGGCCCCACCTAATCCTGAGGGATATCGATCCAAGGGGTCCTCTGGAACGGGGTATCGGTCAATGGCGTTGGGATACCGATCGCTGTCGCTCGGATAGCGAGTAGGGGATATCGGGTACCTGCTACCGACTCCAGTTGGGAATCGAGGGTTCGTTGGATATCTGTCTATGGCTGGATCGGGAATTGGGTATCGATCCGCAGGCACAGGACGACGATCGCCGCCTCTGATCGGGAATCGATCGGAAATCGGGTATCTATCAGAGGATGGGTATCTATCAGAGGCTGGGTATCTGTCAGAGGATGGATATCTGTCTCCAATTGGGTAACGATCGCTCACTGGGTAACGATCTATAGGATAGCGATCGTTACCTGGATACCGATCTATGGGGTCTGGGAAGTCTCCTCCAGCTCCGATTGGATAGTGTCCACTCATCGGGTATCTGTCTGGGTATCTGTCTGCTGGGAAACGGTCAGGATAGCGATCTGGATACTTGTCTGGGTAACGATCTGGATACTTGTCTGGATAACGATCTGGGTATTTGTCAGGATAACGATCTGGGTATCTATCTGGGTATTTGTCAGGGTATCGATCGGGGTATTTATCAGGATATCGATCTGGGTATCTGTCGGGATAACGATCTGGGAAACGGTCAGGATAACGGTCAGGATAACGGTCAGGGTGGCGATCTGGGAACCGATCTGGCTTCACGCTGCTGGTGTATCCCTTGTCGTAATCGTCTGGATAGCCTGGACAATAGTTTTAATTATTTTACGAATGTATTTTGAAGAATGTATTAACTTCTCGATACTCGATACGAAAAATATTCAGTGACTATTTACTATCTTAACAAAGAGAGCTTGTTATTCCTCTTTAATCTTGAGGAATTCTCTGCAATTATGAATCTAATTCCATCTAATTTTAACTTATGCAAGCTATTAAAATAGTAAAATTAATATCTAACCAGGTCGTCCTAAGGACGGTCGTCCAAAATTCGTATCCTGTCCCAAGGGATCTGGTCGGTATCCAGGACTGTCTCGATCCCCATCCAAGTATTGATCTGCCCACACAATTTCACCTCAGTACCATGAATAATGTATCACCCAATACCATTACGCTAAAACTTCATCTGATTATTAAACAACTTTTCCAGAATCCTCCCCTAAGTCTTCGTTTTCTGAATGGAAAGTGTCCAGAGACAACCCCCAGACGATTCCTGTACCACTCGAAAGGTACGTTTATTTTCTATTCTCGAAAATCAATCAAAAGCACGACTTTACATTCAAAGACTCACGCATAAGGTTCTCGTAGTAATCGTAATCCGCATCGTAGATGATCCTGTGGCCATCTCGTTGATTGAATCGACTCAGTCGACAAGTGTGGTAATGCTCGGAGTAAACTGCGCTCCTGCATTGAAAGCTGGTCTGTCGAAGACACTCGTCGAGGCATTCGCTCAAGCTGCGCCCGGTTATTTCCGAGTGGAATTCCCCGCTTAAACGCGAGTTCCGGTACCGCTGGAAGGCGGTGTCAGGTCGACGTCCGTCGGAGAAGAGGTGCGATGAGGAGCTGCTGTCTGGGTACTCGGAGCCGCGTGCTATGGGCGGATCTACGCTTCATAAGTGGGTAATGGCAACGTGTTGTGGGGAGCTAATTGATCATTGCAGTTTTGTTTAGATTAAGAGATATATTCAGAATTATTGAGTATGTTATGGAGGAGAGAAGGAGCTCTTGTTGGAGTTTCGGGAAGGGTGTTGCTGTAATGAAGTGAGCTACTCATGATTCAACATGGCACTATAAGGGTAACACTTGAAAAATGGCTTCCCCATGAAGGTCACTGATGAGTCACTTCCACCACATAAGGGTGTAAGGTGGCTAAATGGTGTAATGAGGGAAAGGGGACGAGGTGCAAGCACTCTCGCATTTTGAGCGACTACTTGAGGGTGATCTAACTCTTAATCATGATTGATCTCGAGTTCGATTCTTGACTGTAGTATTTATAGGTAGGTTGCACTTGTGTTTCGCTATACTACACGGTCTGTCTAAAAAGAAACCGAACTTTTGCTATTAAAAGAAAAAAGTACAAGTAAAGTTTTTACTTTATTGAATTTTTCAATTTTGGGGAAAAAAATAATCGCAGGGAGACAGATCAGGCGAGTAGGGTGAATGATCCAAGGTAACAATGCCAATTCCAATTAAAGGGACACATTATAGCAATATTTCGGAGATTCAGGCCGCTGTAACCGCCGTACTAAACGGGATACCAAAACCGGAGCTGCAAAGGTCCTTCGAAATGTTAATTACGCGGTCTACACGCTGTATTGACGCAGAGGGAGATTATTTTGAGTAAATAAACGTGTGTGTGAATACTTTACTTGTACTTTTTTCTTTTAATAGCAAAAATTCGGTTTCTTTTTAGACAGACCGTGTATGATACTACAGGACCCATTATTACTACTAATAATTCTTAAATACTCTTGTAATTAATTTATACCACTATGTATTAGAATATTCTTCTGTAACTTAGAGTTAATCCCACTAGGTATCCAAAATTCACTTACGATTGTCCAGACAAACCAAATCGTAGAAGTGGTGGCTCGGGCTGTTGCTTATCCCGATGTCGTCCTTCTGGGAGACGGAGTCCTCCTCCGAGATGACGCATTGTCGCGTCTGCTCGTCGAACTCCACGCTCCGACAGAAATATTTTTCAGCTCTGAGACAGAGAGCTTGACACTCGTCCAAAGTTAGGTTCGTGTAGATGTCGACTTCGAAGGGCCCTCGGAGACGCTTGTTCTCCTCTTTCACGAACACAGCTAGGCCGTCGCAGCGGCGCTCCGCTGGGGAATTAAAAGTTCAGACAATTTTAGCAATCATAGAGATACAATTATGGAACCTTTTAATCTCTGGTTCTGTGATTCGAAACGCACCATTGAGGCATGTGTTCTCTAGATAATCAGAATTTGGATCGTCTTCTAATAATTCAGGATGTGTTCTTCTGGTGAAACGACTTAGGGCACAGCTCCTTAGGGCTGTGTCGTAGGTCGCCGATCGGCAAATGAAACTGAATTCGTTGAGACATCTTCAACAGAGAAAAGATGACGTATTGGGAAGTAGAATGTACAAGGTATCCATTTAATCTGACAAAGTATCTTAACAAAGAGGGCTTGTCTTAATTTAGAAATTAAGTTAGTTTTTCAACCACTCCTCTTTAATCTTGACGAATTCTCTGCAAATGAATCTAATTCCAGTTGATTTTAACTACACAATACCTATCCTCGCAGTCTGTTCTGTTCGCTGCGCTAACTTCCTTGATGTCCGTTAATGGTAGTTTCAGTTTCTTCCTGGGATGTCTCTCAAAAACGTAGCGCCTATTCGGGCATTCTCTTTCTATCCTGTCAGCTACACAAAAACATACCGTCAGAATATTAAACTCAACGAGCAGAAAAGTTCCGCAGCGTTTCTTTTTCTGAAGTAAACAAGGTATGAAAAAACTCGAAGAAGATGCACTCACAGCCGAGACAAACTTCCGTGAAGTGGACGCTGTTTGGCACAAGCATCAGGTTCCCGATGCCTTCTGGTTGCGCTTGTTCTCTCGTTAAGTAGCAAGTGCTTTCCTCGTACTCAGCAGCCCCGCTGAAGGACGCTATTCTGCTGCCAGGTTGGAAGTCAAAGCTCGTGCACGCGCGCACCAGGTTGTTCGTCGCTGTTCGATCCCGCAGACAGAGCTCCTGACACTTTTCCAAAACTCTGAACGGCGGGGCTGAGTCTCGCACCTGAACCGACCGCAGTCATTCAGTAATATTTATTAAATCTTAATATAGTGCACACTATTGCGAATATAGCTAAATAATTCTAGTATCAGAGTGCAATATCACAGTAATGCACAAAGTGCCCCACAATGAATGATTCAACCGAATAGAAGATGATTATACATGAAAAAATAAGTTAAAAGTATAGATTAACGTGTTTTCCTACGAGGCTTCATTTCCCAAAAAATCAATATTAGAAATTTTGTGTGCCACAAGTGCCCCAAACACCTTCAAATTCGATTTTCTCAAAAAACGAAGCCTCCTACATACAAACTTCATCATACTTTTCGACGTATTTTTACACGTAGAATAATTTCCATTTGCGTAATGTCTACAAAAATTTCGTACCACGTCATCGTCGAAGCCCTGAAGCTGTTGGTCCGGAAGTCTCTCGTAAACGACTCGACCTAAACCGCCATTGCATGTGGTTTGTCCTGAAAACGCGACGATCCTTCCGTTACCGGTGCGGTATGAATTTAATCGACATGTTTGTTATTTTCTCATAAATGGATCATTGTTTCCTCTTTCATCTCTCTCTTGATTGTAAAAATCAGGTTATTTCCTTTTCGGAACGAGCTGCGCTACGATTTTATCGTCGCGACATTTTCGTGCTATAAGTGGCACAGGCGGGGGTACAATGGAACGAAACGTAATTTCGCAAGCGCACAAGTGACATCACTGCTGTTGTGCATTCCATTGCTAATTTGCACGGCCGCGAATCCCGCGAGCATGATGGCTCGCGGATTCCAGAGCACAAAAGAGACTTTTTAGAGCATACACGTCGGGTCTATCAGATTGCGAGAGGAACGTGGAAATTAATCGGTTAAATGGTTACTTAAGAAAGTTTAATTTCACGGTAGACAAATGTCTTTTTTTAAATTGTATTTATATGTTTGAGGAAATTATAAACTAGGCATGAGCAGTTATTACTTACCGTTAACTACCACTTTTAAGGTAGCTAGCACGGAGATCGTTTGTAGTATATCCGATATGTTGTTAAACTTTTTCATTTTTATTTGTTGGCTCGCCGTTCAGTGGTCGTTCCAACATCGGTGGAACTGTAAAATCAAAATTGTAATAAATTGCAAATTGTAGGTTTAGAATTTGCACGTGTATGATACGGGAAATGTCTTCGTTCGAAGAACAACAGTGGTGTGGATGTCTCAGTAACAACCTGAAGGACTTTAATACCATCGACCTACGTTAGATCTACCAAAGAGTAAAATTTCATTGGAGGCTTGCAATCTCAAAATATTCAATCAAATATACAATCAGTGACTATCAAACTTCGATAATTGTATATGGGTGATTTTCATCTGATTTGTTGCAATAGAGCGCGTTAGTAACGATAATGGCCACTAATAATGTGATGCTTGAAAGTTGGAAACACGGTCCGTTGGCTTTACGGGCGTGTGCTGGTCCTCGGCCATCGTGTGGGTGCGCGTGTCAGAGAATAAGGTTCACTGGGGGTGCCAGTGTGTGGGAAGTGTTCAGGGTGAGTGCGGCCCAGGAATTCCATAAAACCTTGCATTGTCTCTGCATGCTTTGAATACGTCGAAAACTCCACCAAACAGAATTACGTATTGTATTTTAGCAGCAGTATATGGGCCCCAAGAAGAAATTTGGAGGGTCCAAACTAATAAAGTTGGTTTTTCTCCTAAATTAAACTTGAAGGTTTTTGAATTTAACATAAATGGAATTCGGGAGTCCCAACTAATAAAGCTGGTTTTTCTATTAAATTATTCTTAATGATTTCTAAATTTACCATGAATAGAATTTAGAAGCCCCAAATTAATAAAGTTAGTTTTTCTCAACAGATTATTCTTAAAGATTATTAGATTTAACGTACAAAAGGTAGATCTATTTTGTCTCCATCTTCTTTAGCACAGAAAAAATTAAATCTTACAAGTATTAGTATGTGAATCATCAAACTCTTTCTCTTGTAACTTTCCTTCATTCTTTCATTTTTAATTATTTATCAGCAAGCCTTCTTTCTATGGTCGTGCACATTTCAAGTAAATGTTTCAAATGAAAATTGGACACAGAATTCGATTCGCTGAATAATTGTCGAGGAAACGTATTAATTGGAGCAAATTGTCAATCGTTGCATGCGTGCTTCGCCACGAACGGTACTCGACCTACGGCATAGAAATGCTGCTTATTAATTACGTTATGGTTTATCGCCTCGGTAATTGTGGTTGTCTGTCCAAAGTGTATGAATGCTCACTCGGTGATTAATGTTACGGTCGATGAGAGAAAATTATAGGTTCACGTGTACGAAACCTCAACATATAATGTTATATCGAGTAATATAGTGGTGATATATTAAATTTATGTAATTGCATTGTCCCCTGATCCAGGTTGCGAATGTGCTTTCTATAATTCAGTTCTAAAATATTAAATAGAAAATGATAGGATGAAAAATGTAATTTGCTAATGTTATTTTAATAACGATGCATTATTAATAGTTTTGACTATATTCAGATTAACTTTTTTACTTGGGGAAACTGTATAGCTAATAGAAAAATTAGATAACTACATCCATGCATCATTTTTACTTTAAACAATAGTAGGAGGCACGTCGAAGTTGCGAAATTTAATTATGTTGGGGGTTCTCCATAGAATTCCTCGAAGTTTAAAAGATCGAACGATGCAATCTATCACAGTCGCTGCAATTTCACAAGTTTAACCAGTTTCCCGATCATTTGATCCGGAGTATTGCAAAAGTTCGCTTAGGTAGCTTTCGAGTAAGTTGGCTTTATACGTAAAACGGACTGCCGCCTTCTGGAAGTTCACTTTTTTCGTGAAAACCTTGTTGCAAGCTACAAGGCTATTATCGCGTTCGATTTGAATTCTAGATTCTAGATGACGGATAACATTGTTTCGTGATTCGAATCACATTAGGATTCTTTGATTGTTGCGCGATATTTGCGCTAATATGTTCCCACGGAACGACAGGTTATCCGTAATTGCTTCCTGAGAAATAATTATAAATTTCAAAGCACAGCAGATGTCTTTCGAGCGCAAAGTCATTGTGAAAAATGAACTTTATCGAGATAATTTGTATTACTTTTTATTAATTTATACAGATTGATCTAGGTAGAAGTTCATCTTAATTTATTATACATATTTATATCATTTGTAATAAATTTATATAACGATTCAGTGATTGATATTAATAGTAAAATATAAATATTTCTAGACATGTTTGTACGTATATAAAAATCAGAATGATAATTTTGCGATCTCGTGCAGGTTATTGGTTCAAATTGCTATATTTCAGCAATTGTAATAAGCTCCTGTTACACAATAGTGCATAATGGTAAAAAGATTAAATCAGACTGAAAATATAGGTATATGGATATGTTATGTGAATCACACGGTGTCGAAGATGATTAAATACTACAAATTGCTTCATCCTTCAATTGCACACTAATAATAATGCACAGAGTGCATTGCATAGGAACATGTACACTTATTTCAGAACAAAATCTAAAAATAATTCGTGATGTAAATAAATTGTCAAAGTTAGGTCTCAGGACGCCCAGCTATCAAGAAGTGCAGAAACCCAACGAGGAGGGCACATCTCGATCAAAACCTCCCCTCTATTGTATTAACTAACTATCACACAAGTAAAAATTCTACCAAAAATTTCCGTAAAACTAACAATAACATTGAACACATCTAATTAAAAAATTGTACAAATTCCAGAATCATAGATTTTCTTCGTCTTCTCCTCTTCAGAAGATACAGCACAAAGCCCTTTCACTGTACTTACAGAAAGGTGGTCGACAAGCTTCACACACGTTCGTCGTGGTCCCGAAGAACGAACCAATCCGCGAAAGGGATCGATGTCTCCAGAGGATGATCTATCTACAACTCGAACTCGATGTTCGATAGGGCCTCCAGTGGCCCAACGAAAATCCCAACAGAATCGTCCAACGCGAATGGCACCTGTAATCAAACTGACGGTCAAAATCGACGTAAACCGTGGAAATAATGCATAACACCCGCACGACGAGAGGGGGGAAGGAAAGCAACGCTGATGGAAGAATCGTTTCGATGAATGATTCGTATAGACGAGCCGTAGGGGGCAGAACATAGGTGGCGAGATAACGTTGGTGGTACACAGGCGCGGTGTGGTCTCCCCACGTCCGATTTCTGGCCTTGTGCTCAACGGAAGTGACTCCATTGTGTCCGGTTTCCGTGGGGCCATCCGGGAAAACGTTCGACGTGCGTGTAAACGCCGGGACCGCGGGTTCTCAAGCCTCGTCGCTTTGGGGCCCCGTGCAGTCATTGTTTCTAGCTATAAATTCACTTTAGATTAAGGGTATTTTACTGGTATGTAAGTCGAGGAGTAGTTGAAGATGATGATCATCATTTTTTATA